AGCTCGTATTCACAAAAGCATAGGATTCTGTATAACCTTTTTTCCGCAAGGGAAAAATCACTTTGATATATCACTGAAAATTATGGCGCGTGTGTGTGATAATGAAATATATTCTAAGGAACCTGCTTTATCGATGCACCATCCATGGACAAAAATACCCGAATTTCGGATATCCGTCCCGATCCGAGGGTCAAGTATCCAAAAATCGGATCGGGTTTTAATATATTTTGCAATGCGAAATTCGTATTTAGGTTTAGATTCGTATTTTCAATTCCAATAAATACCCACTGACATTTGAATAGTAAAAATAATCGTTATATATATTATTTATTAAAAATCTACAAAAATATTTATCAATATCTAATTGTTTTTGTCTTTATATATAAAAAATATTATTTTATGATATAATTATTTTGGATGTAAAATATTTTTTAAGGATGCTATAACTTATTTATATATCATCTATGAATTTATGAAATTTAATCAAAACATATTCAAAATCTGTTGGATTCAATATTATCTCGCGGATAATATAATTCAAGTACTCAAAAATTTAAGTTCGATTTCAGATTTTAAAATTTAAAATTTATTGAGTTCATATTCGAGTACTCTAAAAATCCTGAGCACCGGACTCGTGACCACCTTTTTTTCTCATTGTTAATTTATAACATTGTGGTATGTATAAATCATGAGATATAAAGAGTGGTCCAAGTAATTCAGGCATAAAATCCTACCCTCTGAAAACAAAAGATTATTTTAGGCAATGCTTTAATTTAATTCACTGTACAGTCACAAATCAGAATCTTATGATGTGATTAGGCTTTATATTTTATAAATGTATGTATAAAAAATCTACGGAGGGTCTTCGCCAAATATAAATTATGGAGTGATATATATATATATATATAAATTTTAATAATTATATTTTTAATATATTTTAAAAATAGAGAAAACAATTTGTAGTATTTATATTTATATTTTAATAGAAGTATATTTAAAAATATTACGTAAAGGTTTTTGATGATTATATTTTATATTCCCACTTGTTTGTATTAAACTTATAAACTTAATTCTCTCACCGTAACCTTATATATTTATTTATCACACTCCCCATAAATTGTAAAGTAAAAAAATTATGTTCTATTTAGTCATCATAAAATTTTTATTTTTTAAGCACTTTCAATCCTAAAACTAACATAAGATAAAATTTTAATTTTTTTTATAATTTTTAGAAATAATGATACAAAGAAAAAGTTTAAATTCTTACCAGCCAAACAGAAAACTTCAAATCGTATCCGAACCTTCTCATATACTTAAAGCTTATATTATATTATATTATATATATATATATATATATATATATATTATTGGCCTTCGTAAAAATTCTATTCATGTCACGTTTCAGACCAGCTGTTTTTCATTCACTCACCTTCCTTTTTTTTCTGCTTTCAGTCTTATACAATATGGAATATTGTGTTTTATGGATATATGTCGGGTATATTTTACATTTATTTAAACAACACAAATACCAATGCCCGAAATTATTTTGTAATAATAATTTAACTTCACAGAACAATTTATATAAGATTCATCGGCCACATATGTCTCTAGACGTCCCAATTGTTCGAGAAAAGTGAACACTTATTAAACGCAATAAAAACCCTTCAACCTATAAAGAACATCGATCATCCGAAACTCATCAAAGTGATAACCTCCCTCCCTCCCTCTCTCTCTCTCTCTCTCTCTCTCTCTCTCTCTCTCTCTCTCTCTCTCTGTCTCTCTCTCTCTCTCGCTTAGCCTCACAATCGACAAAAAAAAGACCGTTTCTGATGTTTGTATCTGTCTTTACTTCGACCAACCCAAGAAAATAATCACAAAATTTCTTTTAAAAAAACCCGCAAGAGAGGATGAAAACAACGAGATTCGGCCGTTTTCTTCGTCTCCAAGTGTTGTTTCGGGCACTTGCAATAGGGTTCATATCTCTTTTGTTGATCGAAGCCTTTGTGTTGCGAAAAAGCGGCAAGAATGCGACGACCTCTAACGGCACTTACAATTCTGCAACGAGTGGGAAGGAAGGCGAAGGGCTCAAAGATGGATCAAAACTCCAAGTTCTTAACTTAGTAGCCAGCAAAAGAAAAGTTCCTCGTGGACCAGATCCCATACACAACAGGTTCTTTTCCAATCTCATGTGTATATATATATATATGTATGTATATGTAGTATGTATGTATGTATGTATATATACTTACGTGTGTGTGTGTGTGTATTTATGTGTTTGTGAAGGTTTCTTTCGTTAAGTTGTGTTTTTTTATGAAACCATGGACGATGCATGATAAATCGGATGTGTATACACCGATACATAATGATGAGCATGCGATGAGACGTACAAATTAATTACTGAGACTAAAACATATGAGGCAGAGGCTTTGAGAAAGCCTGTAGTGTTTAACTTTCATTCAGCCTTTGGTTAACAATATTGTTTCAAATCTGCTTAGTTTTTTTTAAAATTATTATAAATCTCTCTTTTGCTTTATTTTTAGCTTTAACCCTTTTATTACATTGGTCTCTTTTCCTTTCCTTCTCTTTCTCGTTATGGGGAAGCTATATATTTCTTATATATCGAAGGTATCAAGATTCTTTCTGTTGCTAAATCAAATTCTAATCATGTTACATAAGCAAAATATAAACGGTCGTTTAGTAGATTCTTTTGGAGTATTATAGATATATATTAGTTGTATAGTTTCTTAACACGATTTAAAATTTGTGTCTATATATATATATATGTTATTTGGCTGAATTAATAAGAATACACGATATTTCGCAAATTTTGTAACGGTATAAGAGTTTGATGTTAGGGTTTTTATTAACTTTCGACAAGTATATGGTGGTTGAAGACGAGAGTGAGGATGATGATATTGTCGATGATATGATAGTTACAAAAACCATATGGTTTTTAATCAACATATTAAAATTATAGATATATAAATACAAAGATTTCAAAACGCAAAGGAAAATGAAGTATCGGGTGTTCGTCATAAATGACACAGGAGAGCGGGGAACTCGCGACGACCACCGGGGCTTGCTTGAGTACACGTAACTAAAAGCATTGGGATGGAAGCTGAGGAAAGAACAGAGGGAGAGTTACGTCCACTTCCACGTCTTGTATGCTGAGTTTCTCTCTTCGTTTTGAATGATATTATATCTCGTTTTCATGCTGAAAACATTCGTCATCTTGCATTTCTATTCCTTTGTCATTATTATCCTAATATATACATATATATAACTTGGTGTGTATATATATACACAGAGACACACACACACAAATCTGATAATAATAAAAAGAAGAATCTCGGGAAAACAAGGAAAAAACCAAACGTCTGTCTTTTTGGGAAACTCTACTTTATATTTACATGTTCTTCCTTCTTTTCTCTTTGCATAAATTCTCTCTCTCTCTCTCTCTCTCTCTACGTACGTAGACAAAAAATGATAAAAGAATAGAATATTTTAAAGATTTCAAGAACATGCATGGAAACAAATTAATACATATATACAAGACGGCAACATTAACGGTTGCGAGTATAATATGGGTTTCTCTGTATAGAAAGCTTAATTACAATCTTTGAAAAGAACCATTTTGATAGTGTTTTTGAAACCAAATACAAATAGACTGAGCCCAAGAAGGAAAAAAAACATGGATATGTCTCTTGTTTGTATACGTATACACACACACACATACACACATGTGTATATATATATATATAATCTGTTGTATTATCTATATACACCAATATATATAGTGAAATGTTGAAAAGGAGTGGAGGGTCTCCTAAATAAAGGGGATAAATGAATTGCTTCCTGTGTTAGGCTTTTTTCCTAAAATTGATTCTTTGGTACTTTTGTGGGGTTAGCCCAACCACTACTCCTTCCTTTTCCACTCATTTGCCTGACCCTCCATCAATCGACAGTCGATAAACATATTTATTAATTCATCTTAAATTAATTAATATATATCACACTTATAAAAAGTTTATAGAAAGAAGCGAAAGCAGTTATATTAATCGTACACAAAAATATCAGTAAACCCTAAAAATTTATTATTCCCTTTCGATTACCAAGATCGATGGTAAACGTCGGGAAAACATCATTGTTACATTTCTTAATACTATAACGCATGCATGTTTGTATTTCCACATATATACACCCATATAAGAGGAAATATGGATTTGTTTCAATGTTGGTTCTAATCAAATTCATTGGACTGGAATATGGATTTGTTTAAATGTTTAAAACTTAAAAAATTTAAATAATTGGAGTAAGATCAAGCAGAGATATTTGCCAAAAAAATTGAAAAAAAACCAAAGAGACAAAACCTAACAAGCTTTTTGGCCTGTCATGTGTTTGCTTCCTGTCGTGGGGAATTAAAGTAACCGCGAAGACTAGTCTAAAGCTGGGAAGTTTCAAAACCATGGCGGCTCAAATTGCTCTACATATTTAAATTAAAATATACAATTAATAGAACCCAACTTATTATAAATTGTTTGTATAATGTATTTCGCATGCATATGGAGATTACGATCACATTTAGATGTGTGACAGAACAATCGTTTTGTGTTGAATTGACTAATTTATTTTTTATAAAGTGAAAACATTATGTATTTTCTTAATATAGTATCCCATTTCGAAATGAATTTGAATGTTATGAAGCTTTTATTCTAATGTGGGTCCATGATATTTCAAATATATAAGATTTTATTGGATCTAGTTGTGTTCCATAAAAGGGCCCATTAACGAAAGATCCATTAGGAATAGCCTTTGGCAAGTGGGCCTTGTGGGGCCCATTCATATGCTCGCAAGTGATAACTGAAAGACGGGGATGACGTGGACCTAAAAATCAAACGGACGTATAGGGAATGTTTGGGACACGTGTCACTTTCTACACAGAGTTTGACTCGGCGCGGCCAATTTGTTTTCCTTATCAACCTCTCGCTATTTTATTTTTTTCTTTTCTTTTGGGAAAATATCTTCCTGAAAAAATAAAAGAGATTTGTCTGATAAACATCGGTAAGCTCGCGTTCATGTGTGCGTGTTTTTTTCTGTTCGCGTTTCGGTGAAATTTCAGGAAGCTTTTGAGTGATGTTGGATAGAGCGAATCGAGAAAGGAAGGTGGGTAATCGTTATCCGGATCCGAGTCTGAGAGAACCCGGATCGTCTGTTTGGTAGATTCAAGAGGTGGAAGGCGAAGATCGGTGGCTGGGGATTCGGACAGGAAGATGCCGGCGACCGGAGATCTGGACCGTCAGATTGAGCAGCTGATGGAGTGTAAGCCGCTGTCGGAAGCGGAGGTAAAGACGCTTTGCGATCAGGCAAGGGCGATTCTCGTGGAGGAATGGAACGTTCAACCGGTGAAGTGCCCGGTCACCGTCTGCGGCGACATCCACGGCCAGTTCTACGATCTCCTCGAGCTTTTTCGGATCGGTGGCGCCGCGCCAGATACAAACTATCTTTTCATGGGCGACTATGTAGGTCTGTTTCGGGGCCTTACATTTCCCAGTTTTCATGCTTGATTTTGACTCTTAAATCGTTCATTTCACAGATCTGTTGGTTTGCGAGATTGGATCTGCTTTACCTTAATTTCTCGTATGTAGAGGTAGATTTACCCGGAATTGGAAAAATTTTCGTACAGGTCTTTCGATGGCTTCCATAGCTGATGGTAGATTGTTTTAGCTGCATCCTTTTGGGAATGCTTGCCCTATATCCTTGATTGTTATTGCTATTTCTTGTTTCTGGTTTATGGCAAACTTGCTCTGTTGTAATTATTACATAAATGACTTTGCCATTTCCGTCCTTTACGTTTGGAGTTTGGTTTTGTCTTTTGTTTTTGTTGCCGGATACCATTGCAATACCTAGGATTTGGATAATCTATTGGTGCTGTTTACCATAAGTAGAGTAGAGATGGAGTACCAGTGCCTTTAACTTTGAAGTAAGAACATTCAAGGATAATCACTACTGTGTGCTGATTTCTTTTTCAACTTCCTTGTCACCGGATCTGAGTTTCTATCATTTTTATTGACGCCTTCATGTGATTACGCAACGCCAGTTTGCTAGTTCTTTTTACGAGGCTTAAGTTGCTGAACTAGTCATTTGATATAGTTGCTATGTCTGTCCGCAGATCGCGGGTATTATTCTGTTGAGACAGTCACACTCTTGGTAGCCCTGAAAGTTCGGTACAGGGATAGAATTACGATTCTTAGAGGGAATCATGAGAGCCGGCAAATTACTCAAGTGTAAGAATCCTCTCGATAAACTCGTGTAATCATCTTCTGCCGAAAAGCTAGAGCTCTTTCTGTTTCCTGACTTTCGTTGCTCAGCAGCCCATATATGTCTCCCTACAGATTGAGTTTTGCTCCTTTTTCTTATGCTGTTTTCGTGCTAGTGAGTTGTCTAAGCTGAGATTGCTGATTCTTTTCTTTGCGTTGCCCTTTCAGGTATGGATTTTATGATGAATGCCTGAGGAAATATGGAAATGCAAACGTCTGGAAGTACTTCACCGACCTTTTTGACTACCTTCCTCTCACAGCTCTCATCGAGAGTCAGGTATACTAATGAGCTTATTCTCCATAACTGTGTCATTTATCTGGATACGATTTACTTACCTTTTAGACTGATCAAACCCTCTATTCCATAGGTTTTCTGTTTACATGGAGGACTATCACCGTCTCTAGACACACTTGACAACATCCGAGCCTTAGACCGTATTCAGGAGGTGAGTTCATTTTTCATTGTATCGAAACCGATTTCAAAACAGACCGACCAGCTTGCTCAACTCCAGAGATTTATGACAACATTCCCTTTATCACACCTCTAGGTTCCGCACGAAGGACCAATGTGCGATCTCCTGTGGTCAGACCCAGATGACCGTTGCGGTTGGGGAATATCCCCTCGTGGTGCTGGCTACACTTTTGGGCAGGATATCGCCACTCAGTTTAACCACACCAATGGACTCACTCTCATATCCCGGGCTCATCAGCTTGTCATGGAGGGATATAACTGGTGTCAGGTAAAAAAAATTGAGAGCAGCAGTCCATTGCCCTCCTCTCCATCCGTCTCAGTTCCTCGCTATTCCTAACGCTCTTACTTCCCCGTCTGCAGGAAAAGAACGTCGTGACTGTATTTAGTGCCCCGAACTATTGTTACCGGTGTGGGAACATGGCTGCAATCTTAGAGATAGGGGAGAACATGGATCAGAATTTCCTTCAATTCGACCCAGCCCCTCGTCAGATCGAGCCTGAAACCACACGCAAGACCCCTGATTATTTTTTGTAACCCCTTGATATATCCAATACCCGGTTCTTGTTCTTTGCCATTCTTGTTTGTATCCCTGTAGATGTCTCCGGAGATGGAGATCGTTTCGACACGTTGAGAGAAATTCGATCCAAGATGATGATCGGATTACTAAAGTGTGTTCGTGGGTCGGTCCGGTTGAAGCCGCAGTCTTTTTTTGTTTTTGTTTTGTTATTCCGATTTTCTGGTTAGATTAGCTTCTTTCCTCCCGTTTTGTTGTTCTGTCTATTCTCTTCTCTCTCTCCCTTGCCGGTTGTAAGATCCATGATTTTTGTGGGGTTCTCTCTTGTCGGAAGAGATTTGTGCTTCTTTACAACAATCTACTATATGAAATATTAACATGTTTTTTATATGAATTAGGATGTTTACATACATTCATTACATCATTCGATTATCTAGAAGTGCGTGTGTGTGTGTATATATATAATCGACATTCCATAGAGGTTGTATTAAGCAGAATCTAATACGAGATTCATGCATTGATGCTTAGATTGAGAGTTGGTTCCAATTCGGATGGGTCAAAGTGGTTGGGCTCTTCAACACTGTTTGTGTTTGTTTGCGTGTTCAAACTCAGTCAACGGACAAAAGGTGGGCCCATTCCAACAGCCATCTCTCCATGCATGCAGCCTCTTTATGTCTAAGTTCCAACATTTGGCGTAATCTTTGCCGTTTCACGTTTAAGAACACTTCACTTGCTTTGACTTTTTTTTAAAAATTTCTTCTTAAACTATATTAATAAAAATATATACGTTATTACTTTTTTTTTCTCTCTTAATTGAATTAGAGCACCGTGTCTAAAACAAAAACATATAGAAATTCCTTTTAAATATATATATTAATGATCATTAACTGCCTTAAATCTAATCATGCATGTTAGATATGAGTCTACATCACCATCCATTGCAATTGTAAACCTTTCTGGGTTATTTTTAATAAATCTCACCTTCGCACATGACATGCTCCAAGTTATAATTAAAGAGGGAGGTTACGTCACCATTAGTACTATAACAGAATGGTCATGTTGCATTTTTTTTTTTTGGCTTTAAACGGCTAATTGATTTGACGACTCCCCATTAAAAATTACTCTTACCATGTTACAATAACCATCAAGGTTTCAATTCTGGTGTAACAGTACAAACGAATATTTGATTGAAGAATACCATAATTTGTTGTCTTAATCAAAGAAAGAGGGCAGGCGACATGAAAGTGGGCCCATTTGTTTTAAAAAATTTTAAAACAAGATGAATATAATCTCATATATATATATATATATATATATATATATAACCAGAGCAAGCAAAGAGGTCCCAAGCCTCCAACGGTCACCGCCGACAACACCATGACTCTGTGGTCACTCATTCAAAACTTAAAAAAAAAACATATGTATGGATTTAAATATACTAATGTTTTTTTAAAAAAATGAACAAAATCATAGAAAGATTTGGAATGTGCGGTGTATGTATTCAACTACGTGGCCGTCTTCCTTCTCTAATGATTAAATCATATGCCATATATGTTTTGTGAATTTTTATATTGGACCAACAATGATAAAATCCAAACATCTCACCAATCATAACATTCTCAGTTTCAGTTATATACGCAATTAAACTTCGACGGTTTTTTTATATTTAATTTATTTTCGGATGTAAATATCTAACCATCACCAGGTAGCTTTGTGTTCAGTTCGTAATTTCAAATTTGTACACGTTATGACGCAATTTTTATATTTTATTCCAAGATAAAAAAAAATGGAATATGAACACGACGTCGTTTATATGCCGACTGTCCGTCCGTCGAGCGCCGGTTACCGACCTCGCGAAACGCAAGTACAGTTTTTTTCTCTGTGCAATTTTTTTTCTTCTCCTTCTGATTTCTTTATAAAGTTCGAGCAAAGAGCAGAATTTTGATAAAGCTTTAGCCTTTTGAATCATTTAATCTCTTATTCTCCCCGGTAATCGCATTCATGCTTCATCGAATTTTTATAGCTCGTCACTAAGCCCCTCACCCTCCAAATTGATTCTAGGGTTTGGTTCTGGAAAATACTTCGTTTTCTTCGCTTCTCTCGAGCAATGAAGAAGCCCAAACTCGACCATTATGTGTCACCGACTCGATTCGGGCTGGTCCAGTTCTTTGTGGCTGTTCTCTTGTTCTACTTCCTCTGCATGAGTCTTGAGATCCCACTCGTTTTCAGAACCGGGTCTGGGTCATCGTCTGCGATTGTCGAAGCATTGCCCAGACAGATCCTCGTTGACAGAGAAGCAAACTGGGCTGTCGAAGAACATCCACGTCGACCCTCGAAGGACCCGGACCGGATTCTGTTCCGGTCATCCGAGCGGCGAGCGCGGGAGTTCAAGACTGTGTCCGATATTTTCGTCAATGAGAGCATTTTCGACAGTGGCAGCGGATCCGCCGATGAATTCTCAATCTTCCACAAAACCGCAAAGCACGCGATTTCGGTGGGGAGGAGAATGTGGGATGAGCTCGATTCGGGTTTGATCAAGCTCCACGAGGCGAAAACCCCAACTAAAAACGGAACCGAGAAATGCCCTGATTCGATCACTGTATCCGGGTCGGAGTTCGTGAATCGGAGCCGGGTCATGGTTCTGCCGTGCGGATTGACCTTGGGCTCTCACATTACCGTCGTGGCTACGCCGCACTGGGCGCACGCCGAGCAAGACCCGAAGATTACGGTGGTGAAGGAAGGAGACGACTCGGTGATGGTAACCCAGTTCATGATGGAGTTGCAAGGTCTGAAGACGGTGGATGGTGAAGATCCGCCTCGGATCCTCCATTTCAACCCGAGGATTAAGGGTGATTGGAGTGGGAAACCAGTGATTGAGCAGAACACTTGTTACCGCATGCAATGGGGTACCGCTTTACGCTGCGATGGTCACGAATCTAATTCTGATGACGAAACCGGTATTCACTTCTCATTCAACAATTCTGGGTTTTGGTTATGATTGGTGGATATGTTCGGATCCTCCGACATTTGATTTGTTTATATGTATTTGTCCTGCCAAAGGTTCGTTTTTTAATCAGAAACTGATGATGAAAATGTAATTCTGTGAAGTTGATGGAGAGGTGAAATGTGAGACATGGATGAGAGAAGATAATGATGACAGGTCCGAGGAATCTAAGGCGTCATGGTGGTTGGGCAGACTGATAGGTCGGAGGAAGAAGATAACGCATGAATGGCCATACCCATTTTCAGAAGGAGAGCTCTTTGTTCTCACCCTTCGAGCAGGTCGACAGTTGGAATGGAAGGTTACCACGTCATTGTCAATGGAAGACACACCACGTCTTTCCCCTATAGAACCGTGAGGATATAATGAAGAAGCTTCTCCCCAGCATTCCAGAATCTGTTGACCAAGATTTAACATTTACCGATTATGGTTTCAGGGTTTTGTTCTTGAGGATGCCACTGGCTTAGCAATCAAGGGCGACGTTGATGTTCAATCCATATTTGCTGCCTCGTTGCCCTCTACCAACCCGAGTTTTGCTCCGCAAAAGCATCTTGAGATGCAAACCATATGGAAAGCTCCTCCATTACCCGAAGGACCCGTTGATCTGTTCATCGGTATTCTTTCTGCCGGCAACCATTTTGCAGAGAGAATGGCTGTGAGGAAATCCTGGATGCAACACAAGCTAATCAAGTCGTCAAAAGCTGTAGCACGGTTTTTTGTGGCACTGGTAGGGATGATCATGGAAAACAACTGGTACTTTGCAGGATTAGTCATTGATAAATGGCATATATTTATGTTCTTGGAATAATTTTGTGTCTCTCTCCTAAAATTCCGTGGTAGCATGCAAGAAAGGAAGTCAATGCGGAGCTAAAGAAAGAAGCCGAGTACTTTGGTGACATTGTTATAGTTCCCTACATGGATCATTACGACCTTGTTGTGCTCAAGACGGTTGCCATCTGCGAATATGGGGTAAGTAATGGACGAATTCTTTCATCTCTTTTGATAGGTTATTATTATTATTATTATTCATCTCTCTTGATTGATGTGGACCGTTGTAGGTTGGCACGGTGGCGGCAAAGTATATCATGAAATGTGATGATGATACATTCGTACGTTTGGATGCTGTCATCCAGGAGGCGAAAAAGGTTAAGGAAGGACAAAGTCTATATATTGGAAATGTTAATTTCTACCACAAACCTCTTCGTGCAGGGAAATGGGCTGTGACATATGAGGTATGCATTTTTCGCCGTATTCTCAATACCTGGCACTTAAGTAAAGCACTGGACTGGCTAGTTAATTATAACAGGAGATTGCTTCTTTGATGTTTTATAAAAGTCTACAACTTGCTTCAAGTGCATTTTCTTTAACTGTGAAACAGGAATGGCCAGAAGAGTATTATCCTCCATACGCAAATGGTCCCGGTTACATACTGTCATCTGATATCGCTCAGTTCATCGTCAACGAGTTTGAAGAGCAGAAGTTGCGAGTAAGTTGTCCAGTGCACACTTATAGTATATAATATCCAATCCAGGTTTTGGTTTTACATACTGTCATCTGAGGTTTTGGTTTTAGAAGGAACAGAATCAGAAGACCAGAAAGAATGAACTTTTCTTCTTTGAAATTAGATTCTGTTTCTCACCCAGTTCAGTACACCCTTAACCGAGAAAAATCATTACAGTGCAGGAAACGGTAGATCGAAATCTTAACCGTTTAGGTTCAAAACCCATCTCAGTTTTGGCATTTTTATTGTGATACCCATGGTGGTAGTAGCCAAAATACAAAGATCACGTAAAGTTCAGGTCTTTGCTATGAGGATGTGGAGAGATAGTCTGTTTGCACTCAATAGAAAGAAGAAGTCCTACTAAGATCTAGTGCTTTTACAAAATCAACTGTGTCCAATAGATTCAGCAATCATATCAGGGTAAACCCTTTTAGCTTAACCGGAGAAATCCAGGATCTTGCCATACTTGACTGACCCGGTTCAAGCTTTTTTCTTGAAATCTGCAGCTATTCAAGATGGAAGACGTGAGCATGGGAATGTGGGTAGAGAAGTTCAATGGCACGAGAGGAGGGTCAGTCACAGTGGTTCACAGCCTCAAGTTCTGCCAGTTTGGTTGCATCGAAGATTACTACACCGCCCATTACCAGTCCCCTCGGCAGATGCTTTGCATGTGGGATAAGCTGCAGCGGCTTGGTAAGCCTCATTGCTGCAACATGAGATGACATTTCTCATGAATTCGGCTGGAGGGATGAAGCATATGGGCAAGTTTTTGGAGCTAACTGTTAGATCTCTGTATATACAGAACGATACATACATGTGTATGTATCTATATATACAATGGATGTGGGAGAGGCTTTGACAAATCTACTGAAAAGTGAAAACTGTAGTTTTGGAGTGTAGAAAAAGCAGAAATCTTGCCTTGTTGGCCCCATGATGAAATCTATCCTCTATGCCTCTCTGAATGACTTCCCTTTTCTTCATGAGTTTTAATTTATAGTCAAAGAAGAATTTTCATAATGTATTTGTTCATACGAGTGATGATGAATGTCTCAAATGGCCGAAAACTGAATGGCTATGCTGGTTTACGTTATAGAGGAATAGTGTGCCGGAATGCCCAGTGAAAAACAACACGGTTTTCATGACCGCTGGAAGGAAACAGCAAGGTGTTTAATTTTTGGGCTTGTTGAAAACGGGTCTCCATAATTAACAGTATAGGAGGGCGAAGAAATATTTGCACGAAGGGTTGCATCAGCTTAAAGAAACCGAGGGAGCCGTTGTAAGCAAGAGCTGAAGAACACAACACAGTCACTTCATTTGTAGGTAATGGGTATGTTCCGGGGTTTTTTCTAAAATGCACTAGTTGGAGCACATTAATTTCAGGTGTACACCTGAAAAAAAGGGGCCTGAAAATTTTTCAGCTTGTACACCACTTTTCGATTGAAAAGTCGCAAATAACCCTGTATGCAAAAAGTCGAAATTACCCTTACTTTAAAAATAAAAAACAAAACGTGTTGAATTAAAAAACGACAGAATAAATGTGGGTTTCTCTCTCCTGGTGTTCTTCTTCTTCCCATGTATCGTCGTCGGTATTTCTCAGCAAAGGCAATCTTCCCGACTGGTTTCTCCGCCATTGTTCCCGACGAGAGTTGCGATCGACAGCTCCGGCATTCTTCCCGACAGCTCCGCCGACAGCTCCGGCATTCTCCCCCATTGGACTATTCCTGATCATGTAGCGGAGATGAAAGTGAACCCTCCTATTGTAAGAGAACGAGGTGTTGGTCGACCGACCATGAATCGAATCAAGAGTGCCGGAGAAAAAAGAGGAAAGAAAAGAAAATCGAGGGTGAATCCATATGATTCAGAGGAGCCACTGTCACAGAAGAGGAAGAAGAAAGACAAGGAAATCGTTTTGCAGTTAGAAGATGAAATGTAAAACCTGTCATGAATGTATATTTCATCTGTTAACTGTTATGACTTTTTGTAAACGACTTCATCGTAACTATGTTACGACTTTTTGTAAACGACTTCATCGTGACTATGTTACGACCATTTGAAAACCTATGCATCGTGACTATGTCCAATTTTAAAAAAAAATAACAAAAAAGCTTAATAAAAAAAGGCAAAATCGAAAAAAGGAACAAAAGTCTGACAACTGGTGGCCATTCGACAAAAAGCCATGTTTTGTCTTATTATCGCCCATAACCAACTTATTGCGACTCGATTATGACTTAATTACGACTTTGGATTTTCGGTCTAAATGTCAAAAATGTCGTTAAATTTGCCGGGTTTTCTGCAAGGAGTGATGAATACCGACTAAGTAAGTAGGAAAATTGACTTATAAGTCACATTTCAAAAACTTTTATACAATAATATAGGTTTGGATCAAAGTGTTCATATATGTTTAAGAAACATATAGGAACACTTTCAATCAAGTTGGTAATTTTTTTTTTCAAATCTTTCTTTTGTTAATTCGTACCTTTGAATCTATTTCTAATACTTATTTTCAAGGGTTTCATCATCACTCGACGTAAAACTCGTCAAATTTCACGAATTTTTACACGATTACGACCAATAAAAGTCGTAATTATGTCGTAATATAGTCGTGTTAGAGTCGTAACGTAGTTGCAATAACGTTGTAAATAGTTGGTTTTGGCCGATAATACGACAAATGCCGTCTTTTTTCAGCTTCAACTTCTTTCCCTGGACCCACCTGTCAGTAAAGTGACTTTTACTTGTTTTTTTGTTGACTTTTTTAATTTAACTTCAAATTCCACCCATTTTTTTATATGAATCATTATATGCATAAAAACTACTTTATTTTTGTCACTTTCAGCACACAACTACTTTATTTCGACTTATGAAACCCTGAACTAACACAATAATGCAAACCGCGTTCCAAACCACAACAACACCACAACCTGATTCAGAGGTTCAAAAACCACAACAAACAGCAAACCATGTTCCAAGTTCACAAACCACAACAAAAAAAAAAACCATGTTCAAATTACACATACCACAACAAACAACAAACAACATCGAATTTATAACTCAACATCTTTCTTCGTCTTCACCGTTCGGTTGACGATTGCAACCATTAAACTCATCTTCAATGACTGGTTCTTTTTCATGTGGAATATGTGTCTGAATTGCGATTGTTCCGTGAAATATTTCAGCTCCTCCTCAGTCATATGGTTATGTAGAAATTCCACTGCTTCTACCGTGAAAACATTTTGACGGTACCTTCACTGTTATCTTGTTCATATCGTCAAATTCATAATAGAATTCAACTTTGGGTATATCAACAATCTGCAACAAAATATTTACGTTCATCAAATATATAACAGAATTCGTAATTGAATTCACTACGATTACTTATTTATCACTTCCTATCAAACACCTTGCAACTTTTAAGTTACAATATGTCATTCTACATCGAATTTATTTGACATTACTACAATTACTTATCTGTCACTTCCTGATTACGACCTTGCAATTTTGAAGTTACAAACATACATCAATCCAAATCAAACTTTGAACGAAACCTTAATTCACTACAATTACTTATTTGTTATTTTGTATCACACAATTTGCAAATTTTATGTTACAATCGTCCAAAATTTTAACGATTCTTTGTTTCCCTCTCTAATGTTTCGGACTTTGTCTTCTTCAACCTAAGATCAACAAATGACAACCCAAACCTAATTCCTACACAAATTCAACTTCAAATCCAAACTCAAATTCAAAATTCTTACTTCTCTTTCACGGGAAGATTCTGAGCCTGTTGATGTCTCCCCCTCCGCCACCGACTGCGACTGCGTCTGGGTTCTTCCGACGGCCGACCTCGACCGTGTTGAAACAGCGGTTCCACTCGACGAAGCTCCTTGCATTCTCATCGTTTCAGAGGTAATCACACTTGAGTTTTCGATTTCGATTTCTCCCTCACCGATTTCACAACTCTCTCTCTCTCTCGGCGTTTTCTTTCTCTCTTTCGGCGGTTTCTCGATTTTTTTAAGTTCTGTGTAAATAACTGTAGTAAAAATGCCCCAATTTCCCTTTTTCTTCTGAATTTCTCTCTTTTTTTACTTTTTCACGGGATTTTAATTCCTACACGTGCGACTTCTCTCACACGGTTACGTATTCAAGGTTATTTGGTCTTTTCCATTTTCATTAAGGGCAAACCAGACTTTTGCTAAATCGTTATGTTTTTTAGGTGTACACCTGAAATTAATGTGATCCAAGTAGTGCATTTTAGAAAAAAACCCGTATGTTCCCGTGATCTTCTTTCTCCTAATCGAACTGGTCTTCCTCGCTTTTTTCGTCCCAAGTCCGGTGCTTTCTGCTGTGTTGGGATCTGCAGAGCAGGGCTGATGTTACAAGCATTGTTGGATTTTTTTATGCGGCTATGAGTAGTAGTGAGGTTGAGTAGAAGGGTTTTCCCTCCATTTTCGGTTGTTTTCTTCACTGGATTGTTGTGGTATCCGGTTTGAATGATCGCTCATAACATGTTCGACGGAATACCTATGAGAAAGCAGTTTGGGGCATGCAATTGAAAGACGTCTAATGTTTCTTTCAGGATTCGGTTCTCTTTTTCATGTTTTATGGAGTTCCGGGCTTGTCGTTATTGTGATGGAGGGATGAAGAAGCTGTCCCATTGCTCTTTTTTCTCCGACATGGGAACTCTTGTCGCCGCGTTGTCATCCAAGGGCTCTCATGTTTAATGACAATGGGTTCCTATGATGACGAAGAAGAGAGGTGCCATCTCTGGCTTAGGGAGTTTCGTTCAGGTCTTGTCCCATCCATCTTTCCGACAAGCCTCAAAGCTTATACTTTTATGTCGAGGATTCAGTTTCTCTAGATCAACTGATGCGAGACCTTTTTCCTGGTTATTCGCCCAAAAAACGTTCTGTCAGCATAAAGTTGCGCCGGCCTGAGCCCCTCAGACTAAGCTTAAAACCTTATGAATCCATGTTCAGGCCTGATCACTTGATTTGGGTTCTGATGAAGATTAAGAGTGAATACGGTTTGGTTATGGATTTGTTTGACTGGACTTGCTTTCGCAGAGACTCGAACCTTGAAGCCCTTTGCATTGTCATTCAGCTCGCTGTGGCCTCAAAGGATTTCAAGGTGGCTCGTTCTCTTATCAGAAACTTTTGGCAAAAACCAAAATTAGATGTTAGCTACTCTTTTAAACATTTTCTAGCTTTTGATATACACCTACAAGGACTGGGGTTCAGATCCCCATGTATTTGACGTTTTCTTTCAAGTTCTTGCTGAAGTGGGTCTGCTCCATGAAGCAAGAAAGGTCTTTGAGAAGATGTTGAACTACGTATTTATATCGAATTACTGATTCTGGGGAATCCTCCGAAGCCTGATGTGAAGTTCCTGAATCATCAGGTAATAATAGCAAAAAGAGACTTCATATCTGAATGATTCAAATATTAGTTCCATCCTTGTCTATGATCGATATACTATCAGCCAGGCACCTTGAGGGGCATTGATCGGTGAGGTTTAAAGCAGGAGATCATTCTTCTCTGCCCTTTTGAAATGGTGTTTTTTTCTTGGTTATTTCGACATGTTTACATATCTCAGTACTTTTCACCAGCTGTTTCAATAAAGGTATCACTGTCTTTATGTGTAGGAACGTCGGTTTTCAGTGTCCTGGCGAACCCGGGTGATTTCCCTAACTGGGCACAGGGCAAATGACACTTCCACGTGAAGGTTAACTCAGATTCAGACAAGCCGGAGGTAATGGATATGATTATTCAAAAGATAACAGCCTGTGGATAAGCTGGTGTGGTTTGGTTTTTTGATGCATTGAGTGTGAGTTTCACGCTTGCTGTCATTGGAAATGGAATGGTGAACAAGAACCTGCCTAGTGTATTGTACATTCTTCACAACAACAACAACAACAAAAAAAAACACGACTTTTTTTTTTATTACTGATTGATTTAATTGAGAAGAATATTTTTTGAGACTTTATTTTCTTTTTTCTTGGTAATTTTTTGACTATGAGCTCTCTGCACGTCTTTTTTCCCTTCAACCACCTTTTACAATTTAAAAAACGTGCTGTAATATTCATTTACATTTTCTATGATTCCATTCCATTTACATGTTTGAACACCATTAGTTTCTACGGGGATACATGTATATAGGAGTTTTGCTTCGTGGAGCAATGATTTGTATATTTCTTTTATTAGGTCACATTTGCTTTTGGAATCACGTGCCCATTTCGGTTTTCCATTTGTATAATATATACATATACATCCGAATTCGAATTTAATGTTAAATTTGATTTGGTAATTTAAATTTTAACTTTAAATTTTGTTTAGAAACATATAATCGGAATTTTTTTAGGGTGTGTATGTATATATAAACATATATTATATTATATAGTTTTTTAAGCTTATTTTTGTCAAATTCAATAATTCACGGCGTTGTCTGATTAATACTAGCAGTAAGGACCAAGAAAGTTCAAACCCACTAGCCAATGAGAAGGTCCCAGCCAATTTATTACATAAATAATATTTTCTAGTGAGTTATTCGATGGAAATTGTACGTATGAAATTGTTTAATAATTGTTATCGTCCTTTATGATTTTTATTGTAAATTATGGAGAATTTTCGTAGCATCACGATACCTTTTACTAAAGTGCTATAGAGATTAATGAATGTAATTTGTAAGTTATGCGAAATGAAAATCGGTTTATTCCTGATTATTTATACATCTATCTATACGAAATTACGGTAATACACAAACTTTTTTAGTGTATATATTATAAAAAAATAATTTCCTTTTTTCTAAATTATATTCTTATAAATAATTTAAAGTCTTAATTAATTACCTTTCACTTTAAAAAAATATTTCTAACTATAATTTCTAAACCAATAAAATAAATTCATTTACCTAATACTATATTTAAAATTAACTGTATCTCTCTATTATAACATTTATCATCCACACTTACATGGAAGAGAACTTACTGCTATGTTTTTATTTAAATTGACAACCATCCAAAACTTTACAGTTACGGTCCAATCGCAGATACATTGGACAGCGACATTATATCATAAATATTAAATGTCCGCTTAGGGCGTACGATTAATTCTCAATATATACCACAGAATATATAATTTTATTTGCATTTTTAGTCAAAGATGAATATTTTAATTAATCAAATATAAATGCCCCAAATACCAAATTATGATCAATTATAAATAAATTGGCAATCTAATTGTCAAACCTCCATATTATCTATTTTTGCTGCGTCACTACCAAACCAAATCTAATGGAATCCATTTGTTATAATAAGTATATTATTTAAACTGTTTCATTGATGAATTCATCTCCAATATTATTACATTTCCCCCTACCATATTTTACATCTCAAAAATTTTAAATTCTTATTTAAATTTAAAGTAAGGACTTCAGAAAATATATTTAGTTTTCTAAAACTTTTACTTTACGCATTCTTTGTGTAAAAAATTTTATGTCTTTTTTTTTTTGTAAAATTTTCTCTCATATACTAGTAATTTGTGAATTTTGATCAAATATTTGTAAAACTTGTGTTGTATTGAGCAAACTATCCAACGTCTCCGGAAAAATGTTGAGATTCTGTTGAATATTCTGAGTTCAAATGTGTAATTAGAGATAGGTATTCACTTTTTCCGATCAAATAAATATAGTTGGATCAAAAGTCCAATAAACTTCTGGATTATAAAAAAAAATTGTAATGAAAAGCTTCAAAGGGAACTAAAACTATATGGGATATTATATAATAGAAATTTAAATATCATTGATAGAGTTTGCATCATCGACCAAAATTTATGCGAAACCCCAGGCGAGTATACCTACGGAGGTTTTTTTAAGAACATATATTAAATTTCATAATAGATTTTCCAAAAATTGAAAAATTAAAGGTCGATGTCCAAACAAGCATATTTATACAACACTTGTAACGAGCACATATACGTACAGGGCATACCTATTGCCCTATTCATATATTAGTGGGGTCACAGACTCTCAATTATTTAATTAAACTTTTTTTAAAATTTTATAAAATTTTAAATGAAATTATCAAATACTTCATAATTAATGAGAGTTATAATAAAACTATTGTCTCCAGTTACAAATATTTGTGAACTATTATCCCCAATCGCAAATGTTTTGGGTCCGCCAATGATACATGTATATATATATATGTGTATATATATATATATATTTCATATCATCAAGTGAAAATTTTGATCGAATGAAAATGAAATAATATCTAAAGGATCACCTCTCTTATACATTATTATATAAATAAATCATGATTCAAAGAAAATGTTATACTAAGTCGAATTTTCTGAATTTATTGGAATTTGAAAATTCTCACCAACGAAGAAATAAGCCGCAAAAATGATGAAACATAAACCAAAAATTAAGTAGAACAAATCCAAATTCCCCTCTATATAAACACAGCAAACCATAGAGACAATTCACCAAAACCGAGGCTCTTGCAAAAGCATAATAAACAGACAGTCACCACAAGAGCCCAAAAAAAAAAGGGTTTTGGTCATATGAGATGGCTCAGAACGGTTCGAACGACGTGAAGCTGATCGGAGCGTGGCCGAGTCCGTTCGTCCTGAGGGCTCGAATCGCACTTAACCTGAAGTCCGTAGAGTATGAGTTTCTTGAGGAGGACATTCTCAACTCAAAGAGTGAGGGTCTGATCAAGTACAACCATGTCCACAATAATATCCCTGTTCTCGTCCATGGCGGTGAGCCCATCAGCGAGTCCCTCAACATCCTTCAATACGTGGACGGAGTATGGCCGTCGGATCCGCCCATCCTTCCGTCCAAGCCGTTCGATCGTGCCGTGGCTCGGTTTTGGGACATGTACATCGATGAACATGTAAGCTAACACACTACACTAGCGATCGTTATATAATTAATTCATGGTGTTTTAGATTGCATACATTTCGATATTATCATATAATTTTATGTGATTATTTGGTACATATATGTGAATTTTTCTAAACCCCTTTATCTTATAGAATATATGTATACAAAATTTGTTGTAAAATTATAACTGGAAAAAATTCATTCTCAAGTTCCTCAGTTCTTTACTTGCCCCTCACCTTGTGATGATATACACACACATGCATGACACTGATACATAACTATACATACATATATATATATGCACAGTGCTATACATCGATCAATGGGCTCGCCGGTGCAAAAGACGAAGAAGGGAGAATGCAGGTGGTAGAGAAGCTGAAAGGGTGTATGGCGCTTTTGGAAGAAGCGTTTCAGAAATGCAGCAACGGCGGGTATTTCTTCGGAGGGGACAACATCGGCTTCATCGACATCGGATTTGGGTCCATGTTGAGTCCACTTCGGGTTGTCGAGAAGTTTTCCGGAGAGGAATTCCTTCATCCGGACAAGACGCCGGGACTTTTCCGGTGGGCCGAAAGATTCTGCGGCCACGACGCCGTCAAACATGTCATGCCCGATGTCGAGAAGCTTGCTGCTTTCGCCTTGCTCAAGTTCAATCGTTAAATTGCGAGAACCCGTAAAAAAATAATTAATTATATTGTCTCTGTGACACAATGTTCCGAAGGACAATGAAGTGATGTTGTTCTTTTGTATCTTTCATATGGTAACCATAAAAGTGTATGTTTTATCGCGATGTTTTTTTTTTTTTATAATCCGAAAGTTCACCGGGTCTTTGGTCCAGGGTTTATCGTGATGTTTGTAATAACTCACATTAATAACTTCTATTACCAAGTGAATTCGGCTCATTCTCGATGCTTATATATTGCATTGAGTTAAAGTGTGTTAACTAAAGGCAGTAAATTATATATATATATATACACACATGATTTGCAAATTGTTGATGCTATTATTTCTTTTAATTCTTTTATTTTGTAATTCTCGATCTATATCTATTAAATGTGACCTAATATAATTTTCATAAAACAGGAAACATGATTCATTATTATTAGAGATATATACAATATTTGTGATATTATCAAGTTATATTATCAATATATATATATATATATATATATATATTCATGGATTTCTAATATGACTTAAATTTATGTCTATTCATAATTTGATTGAATGGAAAACACAACGTTTATTCAGAAAATCTTGTCTTTTCTATAATATATCCGATAGAATCTACGAAACTAATATATATTTATAATATATCGCGATATTATATATCTCTAATAATTATTCAATAGTTACATAAATCTAGTTAGGATTATATTCGCCTAAATGTGGGTAACAAATCTCCTTCACAAAATTACGAAAACCTATTGTTTTAGACTGTTTGAGAAATAAAAATATTTTTTATAACTAGATCTAGCGTTCAAACGCTAACTTTTAAACCCTAATAATAATTTGTGTGAGTCAGTATCGAATATTTATGTAGGAAGTAAAACCTACATGTTCCCTTTTTTATAAACGTTAGATATTTTCTGGGCCTTCATACCATCGTGATTCCATATATGTGTTAGTGTTACCTATAAAACGAAATTATTATTTTCAATTTTAATCATCGTATTATTAAAATCTTCATAATTATAGCTGTTATGGTACGTGCCAATATATACATAGATGAAAAATCCACGTGGAAGTTGGAATCTTTTTTCGGGTCAAATAAAGAAAGGTGTCTGTTTTATGTTTTACATAGCTATTAATACTATGCATGTACATGCAAGCCATTCAACAAAAATCCAAAAATTCGAGGTGGCGGTCCAAACACAAACACAATTGACGGCAACATATATCATATTATATAATAGTCCCTTTTCTTGACTGGTAATATTATTAAACAATAAAAATTCAGACGTGAATAAATTAAATCAGCAAGTGATAATATACATGTATTTCAGTCAAGCCTAAAGAATTGAACACAGCCACCTCTCCCTACAATATGAAAGAAACGAGATAATATATAGACAAAACTAAAAACATTATTGTCAAATATGAACTCCCAAATAGAATTTATTACTCTTTTTTTTAGCTTTAGTATAAGAATATATGTCGAAATTCAACAATTCAAAATTTTAAAAAAAGGAGACGAGTAAGGACTCGTGACCTACTAGTTTGTGTGTTTACTGTTTACTTCACCTTTAAAATATATGGGTTCGGACCATAATTTTGAATATATATATATATATATATATATATATATATGTATGGTGTGAGTGCGTGAACACTTTTTTTCTTAAAATGTAAACAATAGAATATAAATAAATAACCACAAAAAGAGAAATAATACCATCTTTTGAATAGTAAGATCTGTAACTAATGGAAGCAGGAAACTAACCCGAAGTTTCAAAATTCTTTGGAATTTAAAAGACTCACCAACCAAATGAGTAAGCCGCCAATGTGAGAAAATATTAACCATAAATTAAATCCAATCACAAAAAAAAAAAAAAAAAAGTTCCCCTCTATATAAACATGGCAAATCACATAGACACATCCATCAAAACCAAAGTGCACAACAAAAACATAAGTTAACAACACCTTCCCTTCGCACTTAACCACAAAGATTTGATTTTTTTTGGGTCATACATACCAAATTAATACACACATGGCTCAGAACGGTTTGAACGATCTGAAGCTGATCGGCGCATGGCCGAGCCCCTTCGTCTTGAGGGCTCGGATCGCTCTTAACCTCAAGGGTTTAGACTACGAGTTTCTCGAAGAAGATATTCTCAGCTCGAAGAGCGATCTTTTGCTGAAATATAACCCTATCCACAAGAAGATTCCTGTCCTAATCCACTGTGGCAAACCCATCTGTGAATCCCTCAACATCGTTCAATACATCGACGAGGTGTGGTCGGCGGATCACGCCATCCTTCCCTCTAAGCCGTTCGATCGGGCCGTTGCTCGGTTTTGGGATATGTACATTGATGAACACGTAAGTCTCACAACATTAAGCAAACCCTTTCTCTTGTGTAGTTATGTTTTTTTCTTTCTTAACTTCATATTTAAAATGTTTTAGTTTCAAATGTAACAGAATAGTTTTCTCTTCCTTGCTGTCTCTGTTTCTATATATACGCATGACATGTACATACATGTATGTTTAATTTGCGCAGTGCTACACATCCATTAATGGCGTCGCCGGAGCAAAAGGCGACGGGGAGAGAATGGCGGCAGTAGAGAAACTACAGAATTGTTTAGCCCTTTTGGAAGAAGCGTTTCAGAAGTGCAGCAAAGGGAGAGAGTTTTTCGGAGGGGACGAAATCGGATTCATCGACATCGGGTTGGGGTCGATGCTGAGTCCACTTCGTGTCGTCGAGAAGTTTTCCGGCGTGAAATTCCTTAATCCGACCAAGACGCCGGGACTTTTCCGGTGGGCCAACAGGTTCTGTGCCCACGATGCCGTCAAACATGTCATTCCTGACGTCGAGAGGCTCGCTGCCTTCGCCATGCTCAAGTTCAATCGTCAAGATTAAGCCTTAGTATGAAAAAAAAAAGAATTTTGTTCTGCTGCCTGTTATCTCCATTTTTACATTTGTTTATATATGTCTCGAATGAGGTTAACGTTGTTTTTTTTTTTAAATTAATACGGTTTGAGATGTAATAATACCTCAACGTGTCTGTCATGTTTTGTAATGAATTGGATTCTTTTTTTTTTCTTTTTTTTTTTTGTAACAGTGAGATCAAATTTTGATTTATTGTCTTATATGTCTCGAATGAGATGGATGTTTTTTTTCTTTCTATATGGTTTGAGATGTAATAAATCATTACACCTAAACGTGTCTGTAATGTTTGCAGTGAATAGGATTCTTTTTTTTTCTCTTTTTTGTAACTGTGAAATGAAATTTTGTTTTGTTGTCTTATGTCCAATGTTTTGATCATGAAATTATTTGATTCTATCCAAAAGCACTTTAATACATTTTATTCTTTTATGTATTCTTAACATGGCACGCTTTGTTCTCTTTTCGACAACGTCCTTGTCGGGTAAGAACTTTCTCGAAACACGAACAAAAGATTTAAATAAAAAATGAGATCTCCTCCAATGAATGAGCCCCAATTCTATAATTTCAAATAACAATGAGAAGATTTCCTTCTATAAATGAATCCCAAGTATACAAATTTTTTAAAAAGAAAAAGAAGATATCCCTTAATAAATGAGACGATTTCCTTCAATTAATCAATTTATACAAATTTCAATAAACAAAAAAAAAGGATCTCCTTCTATTAATGAATCACAAGTATATATAAAAGGTCACACAAACATTCCTTTGCATCAATCAACAATCACCTAAAAAATCTCGTGGATACACTCATACATCCAAAATGGCTAGCGACGGTTCAAGCGGCGTGATGTTGCTGGGCACATGGTCGAGCCCGTTCGCGGTGAGGGCTCGAGTCGCTCTCCACCTAAAGTCCGTGACGTACGAGTACGTGGAAGAAGCAGATATTCTCAACTCAAAGAGCGAGCTCCTCCTCAAGTACAACCCCATCCACAAGAAAGTACCTGTCCTCATCCATGGCGACAAACCCATCTGCGAATCCCTCAACATTGTTCAGTACATCGACGAGGCCTGGCTCTCCGGTCCAGCTCTCCTCCCGACCGATCCCCACGACCGGGCCATGGCTCGTTTCTGGGGTCAGTACATCGACACACAGGTAAAGACACTTGACTATATATGTGATTGGTTTTTGTGTGTGTATATACAGCTAGAATTACAATTGTATATATGTGTATATATGTATTACAGTGCTTTGCAGCGATTAACGGAGTTGCAGTAGCGAAAGATGAGGAGGGGAGGAAGGCTGCGGCGGCGAATCTGGACGAGTGTTTAGGGAAATTGGAGGAAGCGTTTGAGAAGTGCAGTAAAGGCAGAGACTTTTTCGGAGGTGACAGTATGGGATTCGTAGATATTGCTTGGGGTTCCATATTGGGACCTCTCTGGGTTATCGAGAGATTTTCTGGCGTCCAGTTTCTCCGGCAAGACAAAACTCCCGGTCTTGTCCGGTGCTCGGAGAGTTTCTGCGCTCACGACGCCGTCAAGCCGTACATGCCCACCGTTGAAAAGCTCGTTGAGTTCGCCATGAAGAAATTCAATCTCCAGTGATTCTGTCAGTTATAACTGGTTAGATTAAATCCAGTTTATGTTTTTCTACCCTTTTAATTACTCTTTCTTGTTAATAATGTTTCGAGTCTTAAAGTCATGTAAAAGCTCGAATAGTGTTGTTTTCGTTGAAACTTAATTGCTATAAATAACATTAAAATGACACTTGAGCATTAAGCTTGAGCCAATCAAAATATAACCCAACTATTATATGAATCTAATCGGTTCCATTCGATTCGATTTCTGCATAATAAATTATAACCAAACACTTTAATTTAGTTTGTTTTGATTCTGTTCAATTACATCAGTTCAAGTGGGTTATGAATGAACATTAACAGATACAAAAAAAAATTAAACAAATCTTTCAAATATTCAAACTTCATTATAAACTTCAAGCATGATAAAACTTATAAAAAAATCTTAAAAAAGTCTTTTCCAAATGGTCTAAAACAAATAAATATTAATCTTTCAAAATGATCAATCCAAATCTTAAACCACAAAATACTAATGTTTTATAATCTTAATAAAAACTCTAATTTTTTTTTTTAAAATTTATATACTATAAATTTCAAACTAATAGAATAAAGATTCAATAAATGTATAATAGATCTAAAATAAGTTTTTAATCAAATACAAGAAATTACATTATTAATCTTTGTTCATTTGATAATTCCTATAAAATTTTATACAACAAAAAGAAAAAATTATTTATGAAATAATAATTTAATAAAAATATAGTAATCAATATGAATATATCAAAAACATACCTTTTACCCATGTATACATATAAATTATATGTGATTATTTGGTACATATATGTGAATTTTTCTAAATCCCTTTCATCTTAGAATATATGTATACAAAATTTGTGGTAAAATTATAACTCGATAAAATTCATTCTCAAGTTCCTCAGTTCTTTACTTCGCCCCCTCACCTTGCGATGATATACACACACATGCTGAGACATAAATATGCATATATACATAACTATATATATGCACAGTGCTACACATCGATCAATGGGGTCGCCAGTGCAAACGACGAAGAAGGGAGAATGCAGGTGGTAGAGAAGCTAAAAGGGTGTATGGCGCTTTTGGAAGAAGTCTTTCAGAAATGCAGCAACGGCGGGGATTTCTTCGGAGGAGACAACATCGGCTTCATCGACATCGGATTTGGGTCCATGTTGAGTCCACTTCGCGTCGTGGAGAACTTTTCCGGCGAGGAATTCCTTCATCCGGACAAGACACCGGGACTTTCCGGTGGGCCGACAGGTTCTGCGGCCACGACGCCGTCAAACATGTCATGCATGATGTCGAGAAGCTTGCTGCTTTCGCGTTGCTCAAGTTCAATCCTTAAATTGCGAGAACCCGTAAAAAAAATTAATTATACTGTCTCTATGACATAATGTTCGGAACAATGGCGGATCAATAAATATTTTTCAATGGAGCAATAATTATAAATATTATACAAAAGACAAAAAACTAATAAAAATATATCAAATTGTCAATCACAAAATTAATTTTTGTTTTACAATTAAACTTTACCATATTTCATTTTTGAAAAATTATTCATAACAACTTTATTTATAACTATTTGAAATATATTTTTTCAATGAAATAATTTAGACAGTTATTCAAAGATTGATTAACAATCCGACTGCGCAAAATTGTTTTAACATTACTCGAAAGTCGAAACTGTTATATAAGTAAGTAATTTTTAATTTATCTTGTTAAATAGTTAATTAATTTTTTTACATTGTAAAATTTTTCCTATTAAATCAATTATGAGATTTATATAAAAACTAATCAATTAATATGATAAAATATAGAAACAAATGAATAAAACATAAAAAATATTTAAAATAAAATTCAGAATACTTACATATTTTTGTTGGTTTTAGTTTGTTGGATTTGATTATTATTGAATTTATAATTTTTTTATTTGATAAATGATTAAATAGAATTAATTTAGAGTTGGAAAGAATGTAAAAAAACTGAAGGAGAAAGTGAAATTGGTGAAAAAACAATTGAAAAGATGATTTAAGATAAAAAAAAAAAATAGAGGGGACACCACTTAAATGTTGCGGCATTGATTTAATTAAAACTATACGTAATATTTTTTTTTTATAAATGTGAATGGGGCCAGGTATACATAAATAGGTCCGCCCATGGTTCCAAAGGACAATGATGTTGTTCTTTTGTATCTTTCATATGGTTTGAGATAACCATAAAAGTGTATGTTTTATCGTGATGTTTATAATCTATAAGATTAATACACCTATAATATACTCCGGTAATATGAGAGATGCTGTATGTATATCTAATTATTCAATAATTACATAACAATCTATTTAGGATTATATTCACCTTTTTAGTAAGTAACAAATGTCCATCACAACATTACGAATACATATTGTTTTGGACTGTTTGAGAAATAAAAATATTTTTTTATAACTAGATCTAGCGTTCAAACGTTTAGGCTTGGTTGAAAAAAAAATTACAATGGTAACAGTTACATGATTCATGCATGAGCTATGATTGAATTTGCAATTCAAATTCAAACACTGATTGTGTCCTTAGCATTTAAACCCTAGTAATAACAATTTTTTTTAAATAATGGGAGAACCCTAACTTCTATTTTTTTGACGCGTTGATTAGTTAAATATCCGACACGACACCAACCTTTATATATAGTAGGTATAGTAGGGATGTCTAAACGAGCCGAGCTCGCGAGCCAGTTTGAGGTTGGCTCCTTTTTTACCGAGTCGAGCTAAAAATATCTGAACCCAAATAAAAATGGGCTGAGTGAGCCAGCTCACTACGAGCTGAGCCCAAACGAGCTAGTTCGGTCGGCTCGCGAGCTGGCTCGGAAGCTAGAGTAAAAAAAAATTTCTTACGTTGAAACTTGAAAGTGTTGATATTTTTTGTATGATTATTTTGATTTGGAGATAATTTTTTATATATGGATTCGGATTTGAAGATAGTTTTTTGTACATGGATTAGGATCTGATTGTACGTGGATGGATTAAGATCTGAAAATAGTTTTTTGTACATGGATGGATTGTGATTTTATCTATTTGAAGATGATTTTTTGTATATGGATTGTGATTGTGAATATAAGTATGATTTGGATGTATTGATATATTCTTTTTATGTTGATGTATCATTTGAATATGATTTTATATAATTTGATATGATTTTTTAGGTATTTAAAAAAATATGAGTCGGTTCGGGAGTCGGCTGGCGAGCTAAGCGACTTGGGCTGAGTCAGAAATTTTTTGGCCCAAATAAAAAACGGGCTTAAGGAGCTGGGCTGAAAATGAACTGGCTCGAAACGAGCTGGTCCGAGCTGGCTCGGTTGATGATAACACGTATTTTGGGTGACGTTTTGATATAGGATGTCTAGCGTATTTCACTCTATTTTATATATTTGTAGGCATTCTAGGGCACATTTGGTTTCGATATTGCATGATTGTGTTCTTTGGTGTTTAAAAAGGTTTTCACGCATAAAATAGCAAAAGGAGTGGAAAACATTGGCTACGGAACATCACGGACAAAACGGGAACATTTGGAGTGTTTTCAGGGAAAACGTGAAGCTCAAGAAACGTCAGATCTTGCAAGTCCGATAATTTTCACTCTACAAGTCCAAATCATGCACTCTCTACATTATTAGAAAGCTCTCTTCGTTATCTACACATAGACACCAAGATCACCCAAATCCGATATCGGAGCAGGAAGTTATGAGCGAATTCGTGAAGTCTGTCAAAACTGTTTAGAGACACGAAACGATCGTTTCGGGATAGACGAAACGATCGGTTCGGCATCGCAGAAATTAAAAAATTGCTCAGAAAGTGCAACCGATCGGTTTGTCTTTGCCGAAACAATCGGTTCGACCCCCAGATTTGGGAAAACTTCCAATTTTTCTCAAACCGAAAGGAAATAAGAGGGGAAAGCCTCTAGGTCGAAATTCATTCAAGACTTTTATCAGAAAACAAACCAAGAGCACAAGAAAAGAGGGCGATTATCAGGAAGCAAGAGATCGGAGTAGAAGACGGAGATCATAAAACCGAGAAATCGACTAAGCGTTCCTCTTTCCTTCTATTTTACGATGTTTTGTTGTATTGATATGAACCCTGACGTCTCGATGTTTAGCAAGTAGTTCTTTTGGTGCAGGTTAGGGATTTGCTATGTAGGGATCTTTGTGGTTTTATTTATTGTATTCGGTTTATTGAAAAAAAAAATTCAAAAACTTGATAACGCAAATCTGGGTATAGAAATAATGCTCAAGTGATAAAAACCTAGATACAGCGAATATCGCAAGGATACGGATCAACTATAGTACCAGGGTCGAACACAGGGAATAGTCAACTCTAAGAACAAGACTCGACAAAAAATTAGACCAGGAAATATGGAATGAAGTATGTGAATATCGGAAATAAAACAATAAACCAACTAAGTAAAATTAGATAACTAAACAACCGTAGCTTCGGGATAACCTTAACGCGCAAGGATTGTTTATAAGGATGGAGAATCTACGAATATCGAACTCTAATCGGGGATCTCAAGTTCTAATATCAGATTTGGCTCTCTCAAGTCCTAAATCCACTATCCAATAATTTAACCTATCGATCTCTCAACCTAATAGATTAAAATATCAAACGCGTTAACGATCACTGTCATAGTTCCTAAACCGATTAACCTATCTCTCAATAGTCTTAATCAATTTATTCGAACACTACAAAAAAATGCAAAATTCCAACAGATATTTCCAACGGATTAATCCGAATGTTATGCATATAGAGAAAAACTTTTTTGATAACATCATCAACACCGTTCTGAATGTGCCAGGGAGAAGTAAATATAACATCAACTCGAGGAAGGACTTGAAAGATATATGCAAGAGAAAAGAGTTGGAGTTGACACGTGATGGTCACACACCTGTGCCGATATTCAGACTCACAAAACCAGGTAAAACGGTCTTGTTTAAATGGTTAAAAGAAGAGGTTAAATTCCCTGATGGATATGCATCCAAATTGGCGCGATGTGTTGATACTGATTCATTAAAGCTTATGGAAATGAAGAGTCATGATTGCCATGTATTCATGCAAAGACTCATTCCTATTGCATTTGCGGAGCTATTGAAACCCAGTGTCCACGGAGCGTT